CTAGTTTACCAACTGTATACCAATATTATACCAACTTCTAGAACTGGTATGTTTTTGGTAAAATTTGACTAGATTGGTAAAATGTTGGTAGTTTTACTAGTTTACCAACTGTATACCAATATTATACCAACTTCTAGAACTGGTATGTTTTTGGTAAAATTTGACTAGATTGGTAAAATGTTGGTAGTTTTACTAGTTTACCAACTGTATACCAATATTATACCAACTTCTAGAACTGGTATGTTTTTGGTAAAATTTGACTAGATTGGTAAAATGTTGGTAGTTTTACTAGTTTACCAACTGTATACCAATATTATACCAACTTCTAGAACTGGTATGTTTTTGGTAAAATTTGACTAGATTGGTAAAATGTTGGTAGTTTTACTAGTTTACCAACTGTATACCAATATTATACCAACTTCTAGAACTGGTATGTTTTTGGTAAAATTTGACTAGATTGGTAAAATGTTGGTAGTTTTACTAGTTTACCAACTGTATACCAATATTATACCAACTTCTAGAACTGGTATGTTTTTGGTAAAATTTGACTAGATTGGTAAAATGTTGGTAGTTTTACTAGTTTACCAACTGTATACCAATATTATACCAACTTCTAGAACTGGTATGTTTTTGGTAAAATTTGACTAGATTGGTAAAATGTTGGTAGTTTTACTAGTTTACCAACTGTATACCAATATTATACCAACTTCTAGAACTGGTATGTTTTTGGTAAAATTTGACTAGATTGGTAAAATGTTGGTAGTTTTACTAGTTTACCAACTGTATACCAATATTATACCAACTTCTAGAACTGGTATGTTTTTGGTAAAATTTGACTAGATTGGTAAAATGTTGGTAGTTTTACTAGTTTACCAACTGTATACCAATATTATACCAACTTCTAGAACTGGTATGTTTTTGGTAAAATTTGACTAGATTGGTAAAATGTTGGTAGTTTTACTAGTTTACCAACTGTATACCAATATTATACCAACTTCTAGAACTGGTATGTTTTTGGTAAAATTTGACTAGATTGGTAAAATGTTGGTAGTTTTACTAGTTTACCAACTGTATACCAATATTATACCAACTTCTAGAACTGGTATGTTTTTGGTAAAATTTGACTAGATTGGTAAAATGTTGGTAGTTTTACTAGTTTACCAACTGTATACCAATATTATACCAACTTCTAGAACTGGTATGTTTTTGGTAAAATTTGACTAGATTGGTAAAATGTTGGTAGTTTTACTAGTTTACCAACTGTATACCAATATTATACCAACTTCTAGAACTGGTATGTTTTTGGTAAAATTTGACTAGATTGGTAAAATGTTGGTAGTTTTACTAGTTTACCAACTGTATACCAATAT